ATTTCGAAATGGGGAAATTATCAGCTGCGATCCTTGCTGCACTAAAAAACAGTAGCCCACCTCTGCCTGCTGTCGTCGTTCTCAGTCTCTGACAGGTAGTCTGGTTGGTCGAGGAATCGAACTGGCGATTGCATGCCTGTGACCGAATGCTCGCGAAGCTTCAGCACAGATTTGTTCCGGATATCACTGAATAGAAGTCATACATTACGTCTAGAATAACTGTCAGCACCATGTGTAATCGCTGCCGTCAAAGCCCGATTATTCATTACTATCTCACACTAATGTTGACAAAGTGAGAAAAAATTCCTGCGGCAGCTGGCATTGATTTTCGAAGGCATGACATGGTAGCCTATCCTATTTAACTTGATGTAGTTTGTTTTAAACTCTCACGAGACTTTTATTAGACCTTTCTTTTCGGCGGTATTGCCTTCTACACAGCCTGAGAGTCAGAACAATTTGAGGATATCAGATCAAAGGTCCCCACAACCCTACGAATTTCGAGACCCGCAGGGCACGCCTGTATCCTTAAACAGGGTCACTCATCGTCACTTCAAAGATCCTCGAAATCACCCAGCAACCGATGATGGGATAAGGTCAGCTGGGCTTGGTCTTGATCGAAGTCTTCATCCAGGTCAAATGTTATCACCCAACCCTCTTCAGTGCTATCATTTTGAAATCGTCTGTTCAAAGCTATTAGGCGTGGAACTCGTAGTACCAAAAAAGGAAACGTCAATGACTGGTAGGCAAACAGATAATATAGCGCGATCTAATTCGAGTTCTGGTGTAGTTGTGAAAAATGCGCAAGGTAGTGGGAGTCAGAGATCATTCCCGAATCGACCCGTTCACTAGGATACAATCTATGAAACCCCAGCTCATGAAGGTGTAGGGAGAGAGGAATGTGGATCGAAATCTTGAATAAAACGACAGGATCTCGAAAAAGGGTGACCAAAAACTTCACGCCTTTTATGATACAGTCACCTTTTCAGCTGTACGATACTTGTGATGTTAGAAACGTAGCTCTGCTATCAATAGTTATACGGAAACAGTTACAAAGACAAAGGCTTCTCACAAGCCCGAAGTCAAAATCATCGCTAAGCACACCTTCCTAAACCTTACAGAATAACAGAACCATGTAACGCGGAGCTTACTGACCCTGACACCGTTTTTTTTTTTTAAAACAGCCGAAGTGTTGAGATTCTTAGCACTCATAGACACTCGAAGTTAATAGAAAGTGCTTGCCGGAATAAAAAAAAAACAGTATCACAACACAAACGTTCACAGAAAATGTAAGAAAGCATGCCTGGGATCGTCGAGTTCGTAAAACAGGTGCCCTTTGGACGGCTCTTGTATGTAGATCTTGATGGACGGCTGCTCAATGTAGTGACGCGAAATATTCGGGAATGCTCGCACAAAGGCCATTTTCACTTGGTCAAGACTGTGGACCTGAAATTCAATCGTGAATCACGTTTCCGGGCCTGGTACCCAGTAAATTTCAATAATGAAATAATTATCCTACTATGAGAAATCTTGAAACGACAAAATTACTGGCCTCAGGTGGTAGGATTGCACGTTTGACTTCATCGTTGGCTTGCAGAAATACCACGTTCATTTGCTCAAGCTGCCGTCCTCCTGATGGCATCATGTGGCTGTTCTGCTGTGAAAAGTGCTCAGCATTCCTGTATGTATCCCATCGGGGCATTGTTGCAGGTGATCCACTGTATTGTTGTGGAGGAACCCTCACCGGGGTAGTGGGTCGATATCCTACAGAGGGAAGAGTGGACGCCGATCGTCTCTGCTCAGAACCCTCAATATGCTCGCCCTAAAATAGGATCAGTATGTTCTCTCCGATTTCTCGCTTCATGAATGTTTTGCAGCAGACTTGGTTTCGAAGCCTGTCGCCTTTTGTCAAGCTGTTCGAAAACCAGTAAAAGTAATCTTTGAAAAATCATGACTTGAAGAAGTGTCTTTGACTTGAGCTACTAGAAACAATGGATGTCCAAATTTATAGAGAAATTCAACGCAGCGAACCTGTTCGCGAAGATGCTGAAGAACAGAGCCGGCACGGGTGGAAGAATCGGCGGGTCCAGGAGCGAATCGTCGCACCATCGGCTCATCATCAACCACTTCCGATGACGCCAACGGAGCCATGGTCACTCGATACGAGGAATCGGCATACCGCCAATCAGTCGCCGGTGTCTGATCGCACTTCTCCAAACCTTAAACAACTCTGTCTGATTCAACAATATAGAAAACCGATAGCTCGTTTTGTTTTTCGCTGTTTATACGAAAGATAAACTTTTGGAGGGGGTAATTAGCAGAGACATATTAGCTGCGGTCACTACTGCAGCAGTGTGTAATGCGGAGCAGCACGGACTCAAACGCCATTATTTCAATGGCAAAGATAGAACAAGTTTTTTATTGTGGAGATGGCAATTTAGAGCCTTTCATACGACTCACCGTTCATTCCGGCTGGAGAAACTGATCCTATTACTCGAGCCTCACCATAGTCGTTCTGCCACTCGGGGGCTTTGTATTGGCTGAATTCGTTCCGTTCCTCATTGAATCGCACACTCCTTCTGGGTGTTTGGTTGTGGAGTTCGCGATCAACTCCCTGATCTCTTGCGAGAGTGACATGCTTTGCTCTTTCTGGCTCCGGCGTTTTCCTGCCCAGAATTCTGTTCTTCCACGAGAATAGGCCCGGCATTCTAGCCTTTGTCTAATTGTACAATTGAGCGGTGTGAAAACAATAGAATGAAGTTTGTAAATTTCCGATGCCGATGAACAGTATTGAAGGAGGAGCTCGGGGGTTAGCAGCTTGTCGAGCGAGGGTCAATGACGATGGAGGGATATTACAGCGTGGTGCGGGTGAAGAGAAAGGAGAGATAGAGTTCAGCGGGCAATTGCTGCACTCCGACTCCTCCCGGACATCGCAACTGCAAACTGTGTCGGTTTCCCTCTGACCATTGCTTTCATCCGTCCCACCCCTTGCTGAGAACCGATCATCGAATGAGCGCCTCAGATTACTTTGTGTAATTCCCAAACAACACCCAGCCTCTTCGCATATTTCATGGAGAAGTTCATACTTTACAAGCTCGTTCTCAATCGATAGTGGCACAGTGAGGGAAATAAACTTTGAGGGTTATACCCTAATGAATTCATCGAATAGTACACATTTCTACACCGGCTTATGAGTAATGCGTAGGAGTATGGAGACCGGCATGTGTGATAAGCCGCTTTACAAAAGCAAGGACGGGAGGTATTTGAAAAAATCTTAAATGAATGATAACCGATAAGACAACAGAGGTTGGTATGAACACATTTTGAGGTTCTAGTATGCCTCATTTGAATTGAAATTCTCCAAGCTGAAGAGAGAGTATTCAGAAAACCTTGAGATGCATGAAGTAACTTGAGCACCGACTTATGAGAGCATATCCTCCAAGGGACAACGCAATACCACTGGTCATTCCAGTGCATAGCAAGCCTGTACTCATAGCAAGGGTGCACTCATAGTGTCAAAATCGCCCCAATTTTACCCCAGTCTCTTTAAGAATCCGGAAAAAAACCATATCAAATCCAGATCTTCTTTCAAATCAGCACTTGAGTTTCTGAAGCGTTCAAGTAGCGGCTCTATGCATTTCCGGGAGTCCTTATTCCTGTCATCTAGCAGTATCGTAATCAGTCCACAAGTGTCTTCCAAATGATAAATGGAGCTGCTACGTTTTCGGAAATGAGCGACGCTACTCATCCCTGTTTGACAATGCGAGTTACGCATCGAGGGGGACTCATCCTCAACCAGGCTACTAGCCTGCCGGCCTGGTTTTTGTGATTGAAACTGTTTAGCTGAGCGATTGTTCGAGTCTTTATTACATAGTTAGGACTTGCAAAAGGAAAAGATGATACGTCCACCATTCACCCCACAGTGCACTCATTTTTGTCTGGGAGCGGAAGAAGAGGGTGGAACGTCACTTCACGGACGGAACAAGTCAAATCGTTCAAAGGATTCAGTACGATGTATAGAAGATGTTCATGACTAGTTGAGGCCATTCTGAGCGCTAGACACTAACCAGAAAGTTCAACCAATACGGCTGGTTACACCGCGGTGATCATGGCGGTGTTCGAGCGAGCACTTTCCTGGGCCGATTCATCACTCACGCCGCGTTTTGCCACTCTCTCCTGCTTTGTGCATTCCGTTCCCTCCAGAAAATGTCACGTGAGCCTCACTCACGAATTCCAGATGACAGAAATGCTGCCACAGAATAGCTCATTGAATTTGACAGGCTGAGTTTTCTGGTCAAAGACTTCCTTTTTTTGCAAACGGCAGAAAATTGTACCTTCACTGAGTAGGTGTGAAATCCATTTGTCGAGTCTGAGTGATCCACGTTGGCCAGATTGGGATGGTGGTGACGTGCGACCTGGAACTAGTAGATCTCCATGAAGAGATGTGATTCATTATGGAAGAGGAGAGGCTCTTAGGCTTTTCCGTTTTGCTTCAGTATTGAGCCAACCTATCAGTTTAGAAGGAATAAAAAACAAGTTCAGGTGGAATCCAAATCCCACGTCAAAACTTGAATCAGTTACTTTGAAAAGAATGTTTTTATTCAGAATTCGCAGATATTATGCTATTCCCTCCAAAAAAAAGTATGATATTGATACATTCCATACTATTTCTTTCAATCTTGGAAGGCAACGGAGGGATAGTCTGCTACCACACATATACTGCCAGTGTCAAATCCCGTATAACCACTTAGGCCCCGGATCACCACCTAGGTCAACAATTTTCACGAGAGATCCCTCAAGTGGTACCGATCGCGCATGATAAGTTAAGAGCATTGTCTCGGTCATCAGCGGGCTCCCTCAGTTCGTTTTATAGGCAAGGTACGCTTTCAGAAGTTACTGTGGCTCGAATAGGAATCGAAGCGTCGGCTGATCCCCAAAAACGGGATTGATTGCCACAAAACCAATTTCGTGTTCTTTTTTTGCCTAAGTTTATTAGAATGGGCTCCTGACGATAGAACTCAAAAAAGCGTTTCTACATCAGAAATCTTTCTGATAACTTTGTGAAAAGCTTTGTTTTTCAATTCCAGTGGCTAGACTTTTCTCCGTAATCGTGTCTTACTTGCGAGTTACAGGTATAAGCTCTGAGGCAACCTTTTTCCTTTCTATTGACAATGAGATGCAAAACAAACAACAAAGCCACGGCACTCTTGGGCTTTTTTAATCCTTCGACTTTTTTTTTAGACCTCATTTATGCGAAGTACGGTGGTAATGTAGTTGCAATCTCAGGCAGCTCCGACAGTTCAAGGCTGCCGGGGCTGATTTACCGATGCAATTGGGCTAATGACTTCTCGTAGCGCAATGAAAACTGATCTAAATATTTATTTTTTTCTAAGAAAAAAAGTGACTTCCAAAGTCAACAGAAACATAAACCACTATTTTCCTTCGGATACTTTTTATTTTATAACATTTTAAAGCTAACTATGAACGCAATGGGTTGGATGATTGCAAGAAAAAGGTTCAGGTACCATGTGTGTTGGTACTAAATGGCTCGAATTGGTGAAAAAAACCAGTTGCAGGAATTCCCCAAGCAAAACATTTTCATCCTCATTGCATTGAACGATGATCCTCCTGTGGCTCAGTGGACGCCCGGTTTCATATGAGGATTAGGGGATCCAACGTGATTAAAGTATTTGGATGGATCAGGAGCAAACTACTTTTATCGTTCGCTCAACATTAGCACCTCAGAAAGCTACAGGGCTAAACAACTTCCAAGTCATGAGCAACGTCGACTTCCCTACACTCTGACAAGCGGACAAGCCCGAGGACCTTGACAATGGTAAAACGATGGAAACGTTGGCCTATGTATAACAAATGTGTCACTTCACAGCTTCGTGACGAAAACATAAAAATGCAGTAGTCAAGCAACGATACCGACGTTACAGCATGAGAGGGCTTGGTGTCTGTTGGTTTGGCTTGTCAAAATCAGACTCTACCACTCTGGCGAAGTTTCAAATCAACTCATTTTAAATGAAATCTGAAGAGTTGCAATTCGATGAGCAGATGATAGCGCTATCCACAATAAGCGAAAAAATTTTGCTACCAAAGAAAGTACTCACAGGTCTCTTGATGACACGTCGAAAAGATTTGTATCGAGAAAGGACTTTAATGGAACAGGACCGGAACCCTCTTCATTAGATGCATAATGATAGTCGTAGTGATGGAGTGGATAGTCGATACGAGGCAAAAAATTACAATTCAAGAAAGTGCCCAAGAGTGTAACCTTAGCACCGCTGCAGTAATGTGGTATAGGGAAGATGATGAATAGTTACGCTCAAAAACCTAAATCGCACTGGTCAGAATGCTAATATCCAATGTATTGAGGCTCCCACAAGGGAGTAGTTTCAAAACTAAAATGGTACAAGTATTTGATGGCGGTATTTCTATCGTCAAAGAGACTACCACCAGACAGGTCCCTTTTCGAACCATTCAGGTGATTTGGTTTTGTCCCGAGCCCTCAATTCGATAGAATTATGAACGGGATATAAATCTCAGTGTTAAGAGAAAGGGACAAAAATGGACACGGAAGTTCCACTGCAATTTTAGTAGCCTATCGCTTTTAACAAGCTCAAAAACAACTTCGTGAGACGGAAGGACCGAAAAAAAAACCCACAAAAACACGAAACAACCCATGAACCGTGAATCACTTGACTGAGTGATTAGTTGAACTCACGATACGATTTCACATTTGTTATCTAAGTATAGAACGATCATGGAAATCACCTCCATCCTATTAAAGTGAAGGGAGGTCATTTTATGTGATTACAGGGAAGACACCCAAAGAAGGAACAGTGAATCCTTTGGCCATGGTAAAAAACATCCCTCTGCTTTTTGCAAGATTCCACCTCTTAACATCTGGTCGACTTTTTCAACTTACATAGCTTCGCAGGACTGCACTATGATGGCGAATAACACGCACTTGAGCAGTCACAAATCAAACAAAGGAGTGCACAATCTCAGAATAGACCGATTCAATCATTCCAACGCCCAAATGGCGGAGTATTTACAGCAACTGAAAAGCTTGCCAATCATATTCATTTGAGATTCATGGAAATTTGAGAAAAGTAAGGTCATATCTATGAGGAGGGAGAGGGTAGACTAATGAAGACTGCGAAGAATTGAGTAAATGGGACAAACACCAGGGAAAGCTAACGATTCGAAGACACAGGCATGACACAAAACGTCGAGAAAATGCTTCCGTGAATTCATAGGTTGCACACCAGACCTATAAGATGGAAATGATGCCAGAATCCTCTCAAAATATCCCGAGAAAGCTAAATTTCAACCTTTTTAGATGTCGAAACAGGTAAGAAGAGAAACTCGCGTGGAGAGGAGACAGCGAACAAGCACCACTAAGATACATGGAGTGCAGCCAGCTCGACAAGCAGTTACAGTACCTCCGAGACGTTCTCTAGAGCGCTTTTCAACGAGCACTTGTGTATAGATAACAAAATGAAGCTATTCTATTTGTCTTCCAGCCCCAAAAAGAGCCAACAAATCCAATAGAACGATAGAAAAAATGAAAAAAACACTAGGGTCCTCCAATACGGATGAATTCGCCGTTGCTTGAAGCACCTTGAAATATTTATACCTTGAAAACCGCCTTCCACCTTTTTTTTCGTACGTATTCCTGAAGTAGATGTGATCGCTCCGCAACCTTTTTAAGTAATTGTTTCACAGGGCGATGGTTGCAAGCGGCGCGCAATCACAGACTCATGGTTCTGGGATCGAATCCCGGCTTGACACTCGTCTGGGCCAACATATGGACCTCTGATCTACATTAGTTGGCCACGGTAAGTCAATCTATAGAACACATACGCCATTACGATTTCGAATGGAAATCGAATATGGAGGAGCATACCAAAGCGGAACTGACAACCGCCAAGAACTTTATCCCTTTCCTTTAGTCTGAATTTTTCTGAGAGTGGAAAGGGAATCCAAGTATACGACAACTAATATGGTTCGTAGAAGTTGATATCACGTTGTTTGATTCCTTTTCATCGACGAATTTCAGGCTCATGTATTTCTTGGTTGTCTGAGGTTCCCATGCCCCTAAGCGATCATCGAAGTGTGAGGACGTTTGCTGATGAATAAAATGGAATCTTCAGCTCCATCTATAACCTCTAAGTTTACTCACCCATAATAGTAAATACCGATGATGTGATTCGAATTCGCCACCTCTTAACAAGTGCTGTCCACAGTTCAAAATGATGACAGAAACATCGCATTATGAAAATATTCAATACTATTTGGAGGCCAACCAGTGATCAGATGGGGTTTACTGGGACAAAAAATGAGAACATCCGGAAGAGTCGCTATGAAATGAAGCAGAAGTCGGCTTTTGATGACCTTTCCGGAACTTCGGATCCCTTGAACCTAATAACGGTGCGTTCCAGATGTGCACTCAGTCATGATGAACAAAAACGAAGGAACGAGTGGGAAGCCTGAATAAAACACATGAACTGAAGAGAATGGAATGCGTAGCGATTACGCTGGCCCATGAGGACGATGTCAAGGAAGAGTCGGAGGGTATGCCATGATACGAAACCAGCACGTAAAGGCTGACACAAAAGTAGAAAACAAGGCCTGAGCGGAAACAATGCAAATGGCTAAAAGGAACGTAGATCTGGATGCTGTCACTGGTGGCTGAAATTCTGAAAAAAAATCCAAACAGATTTGCCCATGACGATGTTCGAAATAGGGTCCTCAACGGATGGAGGGCTGAGAGCATCGACTAATCTGGTTCTGTTATGTAGAGCCTTCCTTGCGTTGGTCCTTGCCCATCATCGAAATCAGTTCCGTTTACGCTTTTAAAACACCCAGCCTTTCTTGGCTTTCCCCCATTCATCCGAAATTCTCAGATATTTCATATTTTCATAGCTTTTCGTCCCGATTCGAAACAACATTACAAAACAGCTGACATCCAAATGACCCACGTAATTCAAACCATCCGGAAAATCGGAGTGATGAGTGAACGTGGAGTATGAACTCCGCGAACATTATAAATGATATTAATATGCTTTTTAATATATTTCAGCACCTTTCAATGATGAAGGTTTCAAAGGAGTAGAGGAGAGGCGACCTGTAGGTTTCGGTGGCGTACCGAACGGCAAAGGTTTTGGCGGCGGCTGAGCATCGAGCGATCGAGATCTGTAAAAGAACTAGTGGACATAAGAAAGCACCAACTAGATGGTGACTCACCTTAGATTTGATGGCTCGTCTTCGAAGTTTCGAGGTCGATGACGTCGAGGCTGATGTGTTATGCAACCGAACATTCGGTGGCTGACCGACCGTCTCGCACTGACTAAGTCAACAGGGTGATGGAAGGGGTGGTCCGTTCCCGCTTCATGAAGAGCATTGACACGACACTTCAAATCGACAACAACGAACACTGAAGCAGATAGTTTCTGAACGTTTCACATTGTTCTTTGCCTTCTCTCATCCTGCGTGAAATGAAAGTGGACTGTACTCTCAGAGCGTACTGGAGCAACTCAGCTCATAGGTCTGTGTGCTTCCGAGTCTTTGCCATCCTTCTGAAATAATTCCGCATTGTAGGACACTGAAAACTCCGAAGGTTAAAGGTTATACCTTGGAAGACATCATTAGGATAGCTTGTTCAGAGTGGCGCGTTTTCAAGCAGCTTTGAGAGATGTTTGTTTTAGGATTGCGACGGACTCCGCACTCTCTTGAGCTTAGAAAGTGCGCGCTGTCCAGAAAGTCGATACAAACATACAGAGCTTGGAGCCGATCTAGCAGTTTTCTTTGTATTCTTGCCAAAGACTCAAATACTGGGTGATGGACCATTATCTGGGTCTGAATCATTAGAATGTCACGGTCAAGAGAAGCGACTTTTTTATATATCTCAAAATATTTGCATAATTAACATCGAGTTGGTTAAGAGGTAAAATAGTGCATAAATGGTGAAGAAAGAATATCAGCGGGTTCCAAGAAATATAGGTTTAAGAAATAATAATGGGGTTGCACGGGATTATGTGTCTGTAATCGTCTGGGAGTCGCCCAAATAAGCTTACTGTTTGTCGGTGTCCTAAAGCTCCATTGTCAGGCGGTCATAACATGGCCATTTTTGGAAGTGTACGATGGTCAAGCCGATTTCAGAGCCTCTGAAGCGACCTGTCGAGGTCGATGTTCCACCCGACAATGTTCCACGCGCTATCTTGGGAACCACAGGTTCATCCCCGGGAAACCTCAGAAACCGATTTTATCGCAAACTAAGCCTTTAACCAATGTATGAGGTGATGCAGAGCCTGTAACCATTGAGTCACGACTAAATTCTAATCTCAAGTATAATAGTCTACCACTCAGATCCACGTGAGATAAAACCTCTGTCGCTAAGGTTTTCAGGCAACTACTAAGTAAAACACTCATTTTAAAGGCACCGTTTACGATAAATTTAGGGTACCCTTTTTTGACGGGAATTCATAGAACTACTCTAGAATAAAGCGATAACAACGAAAAAAGCGCAAAAAACGATGAACAAAAAGAAATAGAAAGGGTCAAAAAAGAGCTGGAAAGGGGGGTTGGACGAGTTTCACATTGGAAGAACGGCAGTTAAGGG